CCTAGTACTCTTGTATAGTGTCTGTGAGTCTTGTGTTTTTTATCGGCATGTTTGAGTGAAGGTAGTATGCCAGACACTCTTATTCTGCTCATGTGCATACACACACCCACAAGCACACACACACTAATCTAATGGGCAGAAACTTCTGAGGGTAGATTGCAGTTGTGGTCTGTTTAGCAGCTGAAGAAGCGGAGGCGCAGAGACCGCTTGTGTGCGGTTGCCGTCAGGAGCCGGGTCTGAACATGGACAGCCCGTCTCACAGCTCATGCTCTCAGCTGCTGGGCTGCTCGTTTTCTGTGAGCAAAGCGAGCTTGGTTATGTTTAGACTTGGGGTGAATAAAGAATGAATGACCGGAGGAAAGAGTGTTAGTCATGATTTCTGTTTACCACGGTAAAGACTGTTCAGTGGTTGCTACTCACATGAAGCTTTTACTTAGGTAATTATAATTATAGCTATTAGGTCAATACTAATTTCCCCATTTACACATGAAAAAATCGAGATTAGGAGATGTGTTGTAATATATTCAAGTATGGATCATGCCATGGATAGTTACGTGATGAAGACTGACATTTAGTCAGTCAGGGTCTGTATTCTTAATCTTTATGGCATACTGTCTCCCAGTGTAGTTTGTTTAAATGTGGCTCACTGAGTAGTGTGGAAAGAGGTAAATTAATTCCAAGGAAATACTATATGACCACTTGCTTTTCCCCTGAAATGAAATTCCATTCTTTTTGTTTTCTGTGCAGTAAGGAAGAGCTGTTTATATACAGATATATCTTTAGTTACTGGATTAAATTCTTACATAGTAAAATTTGTGATCACTGGGAACGGGCATGGTGGTCTATTTTATTAGTTTTTTCACTTATATTGTTAGAACGGATAACTGGATTTTAAAATAATTACAGTATGAAAGATGATACATAATATTTAAAAAGAATTTGGAATCACTTTAGTATTCTGTACTACCTCAGGCATGTTCTTGAAACTTGGTTTTCATTTTATCATTGATACAAGGAATTCCTAATATGTAGCTATTTCCATTGGTACAAATTCTTAGTTATGTGTCTTTCAGTTATTCCTGTATATAATATTTTTGGGGAAGTGGATTAATTGGAAGATTAATTTATGAGAAATAGTATTTTAAGCTAGTGGCAGTCTCCTCTGAGGAAAAGTCAGATATGTTAGTATTTATGATAGTGAAATGGAATTTATACAATAGCTCTGTGTCAGTCTGGTTAAAGATTATGAGGTTCTAAATTTCTTAGAGTTAATTCTGTTTTATCTAATTATGTTTGAGAATTAAGATAATTCTTACTGCATTCTTATTTCCTTTTGGAAAATATAGGAATTTTTGTATTGATTTTTATACTTTGGCTTGGTAAGGAGTGAGTTGATATTTGAAAAACAGTTGCAATTTGAGGTAAAGTGCAAAAGTCATCCAATGACGAGTTACTTTTATTCTTGGCTACCGTTTCTTTTTAAGGTATATAAAATTTCACTGATGGTTTTGCTCCTGTTTTTATAGTTGCATGTAGTCTTTATTTTTCCTTCTAGTATTATTTTTAAGTTACTTAGAAAGAGCACCAAGAAACTGACATGGTTGTACACCTCACAGTAGTATTTAAATATATATGAATAATATAAACTCTGTAAATTTATTGTATACTAAAACTTGCTACTTAGAATACCTTTAAAATTGTAGCACCATATGGTTTTCATCTTGTTATTCATAGTCTGCAGTGCATAAGTTCTCTACTGAAACGTCTGTCATAGTTTGACAGTCATTGCTTACAAGTAATTTTCTCTCTTTTTATTACAATGCTTCCCCAGCAAGGACAAGTTTGGAAGGTTTGCAAAGCTTTTCACCTTCCCTCTGCCCGCTTGCCCGCTTTCAGATCAGTTTTCATGTTTCATAATTTCTCTTTCTGCAATCCACAACATAGCTATCGTAAACAGTGAAAAAACATTAAATTACAGTATTGTATTTCCTCATACATAATAGATAATTTTTCAAAGGACATACCCTCTTTAAAATACAATGAAAAGAAGTTAAGTAGAAATGTTACCATTTTAGTAATTCACTAGGAAGCAGTTAATCATGTCACAGAATGAACAGTATTGAAGATTATTCTGTATTGCTAATAGTTCAGATAAAAAGTTCTTTCTAATAATAATACCTTACATTTGTACAGTGCTTTACAGTTTAATACAGAGATTGCTGTACTGCTGATGTGGTCAAAATGTAAACATTTCCATTTGGTCTGTGCTTATGAGATATAGAGTAGATGTAGATTTCATTGTTTGAAGTGCTGCTGGTATGATGGAAAACAATGTTGTAACTCAGATTTTCGGCAACACAAGTTAGTACTCCAAGGCCAGTTTTAGCACCTTCCAGTTCTTTTGAACTAGGGCCCTTGTATTTAAAATGTATAGATTGAATGAGGAGAACATTTTGGAAAAGACATTTAAACATAAGCTTTTATTATATAACACATAGAAACATTTCCAGTACTCTTACTGAATATTTCATTTTGTAATACTTTATTAGCTTCAGATGAATACAATCCTACCTCAAACCAAGAATTTTTTTTCTTTTTCTTTTCTCTTTTTTTTTTAGGTTTGAGCTTTTTCCTTCACTGCTGTTCTGCGCTAACTGCTTTGAAACTTTCCATGCATTTTTTTTCAGTAGAAGAACATCTCTGAACTGTCTCCCATTGCATATTTCAGCTGTGACAATCCCTGCACTTTGCCTATTCATTTATCACCTGCTCACCAAAAACAAGTCTCTCTCTAATTTGTGATTACAGATTTGCTATTATTTCTTGGTTTTAGAAAAGGATGCATTTCACTTTTTTTTATTACTGTTGTTTTATAGGCTTGTGGAGACCCCAAGGCAAAAACCATCCTACCTTATTGACAAAAACCTGGAATCTGCTGTGAAATTCATAGTCAGAAAATTCCCTGCTGTAGAAACTTGCAACAACAATGTAAGTGATTTAAATTTTTATATTACTTGATTTTAGCCATATGTAGTAATGGTCAGTACTTGAAGTAGCTCTTATTTATCTAAATCTTTATATTTTGAATATATAAACTATATACATTAAAGGTTTTTAGAGATAATATTCTTATCTCAGAAATTGGTGAAAAAAATGATTGAGCTACATTGCCATTTTACTATAGAAAAATAGGATCTTAATTTCCTACGTATACTTATTCCTTTTCAAGTTGCAGCAAAGAGTAAGGTAATAGATATGTATATATTTTCAAATATTAGTATTTGCATGACTAGTTAGGGAGTTTTTTGTTATAGTCATAGGTTTAACTTTGTCTTTTTTTTTTCTTTCCATTTATTTTTATTAGTTGGAAGCTAATTACTTTACATCATTGCAGTGGTTTTTGTCATACATTGAAATGAATTAGCCATGGATTTACATGTATTCCCCATCCCGGTCCCCCTTCCCACCTCCCCCTAACTTTGTCTTGAAGTTAGAAAATGTCTTCATAGAGCTTGTATTGTTTTTAATAATTAGCTGTGTTTCGCTTTAAAATGTGTGTTTCTTTTTATAATTGAGAAGTGCTATGAAAAACTAGTTTTAGGAAATTAGGGTTATTTTTCATCTTACTGTGGTCTTTTCATTTAAATTTTGTTGACTTGGACACTTTCTGCATGTTTTCTCTTTCTTCTTTTTTCTCTGGTGGCCTTAGAATTCTTTTCTCTTTCTTAATGTGCAAATTTAGTCTAGAAAGTTCCTCTTACATATAATCTCCCTACTTTTAAGAAGCTCTGCTTAAAAGATATTTTGTCATCTTTTGGTTTCCTCAAATCATGTGGATGTTCATTGAAGATTTGTATTTATCCTGTTATTCAGCTTTCACTTAAAAATATTTTAATGCGAAGGAAAAATACCAGTTAGAACTAACAAAATAAGTCTGAAGTGCTTTATAAATAATTTTTTAAAGTTTTTTTTATTTTAAAAGTTTTCTGTTTTTTGTGACTATAGATAGGTTAATAGAAATCTTTCTTTTGTTTCAGAGAAGATTTTGTTTTATCATTAGTATATTAAGATATCACAGTTAGTTCCTGATTACATATGGGTAATTGAAAGTGTCTTCAGAACCCTATTATTGTGTGGAAAACTCTTTCTTCAATTGTTGATATTAGTTTGCTAACTCATCTGAGAGATTATATATTCACTCTAAAAGAGATTTTATAATGAAATCTGTTTTACATTTAATTTTATGCTTCTCTTCCTCATGGCTCATAAAATCTGTGATATGAGCTCTTGAGAGAATCTTTTCAGTTTAATTTACATGTGTGTGTAAATTTCTGTATGAGAATAAGCATAGTTCCTTGATATGAGACCTTTTATTAGAAAATGAGCAAGATCTGATTAAACATATTTTCACTATTCCATATCAATAAAATTTTTTGTTGAATAAATTGATAATCTTTGTTCTTGATTTGCTGGGCATGCTGTTTACAGTAATGCTAGGTTTTTGTTATTGTTTTGTTTTTTAGTAGTTTATTTTTCATCTTTGTAACACAAAATTGAGTTTTATTTTTATTTATTTATTTATATTTTTATTATTTAAGACCTTTATTAACAGGTGCTTGCAGTTTGTTGACTTTTTTTTTTTTTTAAAAATCAAGCTGTAAACTTTTATTACAAATTAAAAATGAGGTTCTTAAAAATCTCAACTTGACCAGATATGAAACAATTTAAAAACCTTTAAAGGTGTATTGAGAAAAAACAGGCTTTTTTTTAAAAAACACGTTTGTCATTACCAAAAAGAGACGTCTTTAGGTAAAAATAATAAAAACCCCATGCTGCATAGATAATGCAGATAGTTCTAGTTATCTGGTCAACAGGCAAAAAGCAAGCACTTAAGGTCTTCAGCTCCGATCTTTTGTTCATTTCTTATTGCTGGAATTTCATATTCATTTCTTCTTGTTGGATGACTAAACCGGATGATGGTAGAGATGGTAAGCCGGCGTTTACTCAGCCCCGCCCTGCTCAGCCTCGGGAGCGGACGAATTCTCAGCTGGTGGATCGGCTGCTTTTGTCTCTTTGCCATCTTGTGGTTTAGGGTTTTCTGGGCGTCTGCGTCGGTAATTGAAGTTGCGGCGGTGCCGACGTTGAGGCGGTTGCTGACCTTGGGTCTCACCTCCTTGATTTTCCTCGTCTTCCTCATCGCCGTCCTCTCTGGGCTGTCTTTGGCGAGGAGGGCCCCTGCGGAATCTTGGTCTATAACCCCGATACATATTCTGTCTCACTGGTCTACCTTGTTCTCCTGCACCCTGGTTGTCAGCACCCTCCATCACTTCTCCCTGCACAGGAGGGTTGGAGTACTGTGGTCGACGCCCATAGGGTCTCCGCATGTAGTAAGGTGGGAACCTCCGCCTGCGGCAGGGCCGGCGCTGTTGGGCCTGGCCGTCGGGAGCGCTCTCCGATCCCTCATTCTTTTCCCCACTCTCACTATTCTGGTAATTCTGCTGGTAATTGCGTGGAGGACCCCTGCGACGTGGATAGCGCCTATAATGGTTACGGTCTGCTGCGTATTTACTGCCTTGCACTGGAACTCCACCAGGGCCTGTAACATTTGCTGCCTCCGCACCCTTTTCTCCTTCAACAACATCAAACTCCACAGTCTCTCCATCTCCTACACTGCGAAGGTACTTCCTGGGGTTATTCTTCTTTATGGCAGTCTGGTGTACAAATACATCTTCCTTGGTGTCATTCCTGTTGATGAAACCATATCCGTTCCTTACATTGAACCATTTTACTGTTCCCAAAACCTTCGTTGCGATGACCTTGTCCCCGCCGGCAGGCGCCGCCGATGTGACACCGCCCGGGCCACCGCTCCCTGCGCCGCTGCCCGTCGTGCCGGGCTTGGTGTCGGCAGCGCTGAGGGCGGGGGCGGCGGGGGGGGGGTGGGGGGCAGCGGGCGGCTGCTGGGTCTCGGCCTCGCTGCTCATAGTTGCGGTGATGGTGACTGGGGCCGGCTGCGGCGGCTGCGGCTCCTCCCGGGGTGTGATGGTAACTAGGCCGGCGGCGGCGGTGGGGCTGCTCAGGGCTCTCTGGGGTCCGCTCTCCGCTCCCGTTACCGATCGAACTACAAAATTGATTTTTAAAATAACTATTCAAATAGGATTGACATAGCATACAGTTCACCTGTTTAAAGTGTACAGTTCAGTGGTTTTTAGTTCATCCACAGGGTTGTATCATTGTAGGCTTAACCTATGGTTTAACTCAAGCTTTGTTTTACCATTGTGTTTTTTGCCAATTTTACATGTAGCATTCTAATATTTTAAAATACTTAAGACCAAACCCCAAAGATCGACCAATAAATGTGTGTATACACTGGTGAGTCATCTACTATCTAAGTATGTCCAAGCTTCCCTCGTAGCTCAGACAGTAAAGCGTCTGCCTGCAATGCGGGTGACCCAGGTTCAATCCCTGGGTTGGGAAGGTCCCCTGGAGAAGGAAACAGCAACCCACTCCAGTATTCTTGCCTTGAGAATTCCATGGACAGAGGAGCCTGGTAGGTTGCAGTCCATGGGGTCACAGAGTTGGACACGACTGAGCAACTTCACAAGCACAATACATCTCTAAAGCAAAAACAAAAAACTCACCAGTCCTTTGCAGCGCAAAAAGAACCAAGAAGAATTAAAACCAATCATAAACAGAAATTATTCATTACATTAGAGTTTTTCCACAGAAAGAATCTGAAGTTCTTTGAGTGATTTTGTAAGGAAATTTAATTTGCAGAGCAGAAGCAAACGTGTAAAGTGCATTATCAAGGTCTCGCAGGCTGCAAGATGAACTTAATTGGATGTGAATGGTCAAGATCAAGGCGGTAATTAATTTTTCATTGTTTTCTTTTTGAACTTTTTGGATCAGTTCTATTTTTGGCATGTCTTCTGCTGACTACTGGAGACATCTTCTGTTTCATTTAGACCTCTCTTGGTTACTCCTTTGCAATACCAAGTTGCAATCTCTGGCTAAGTCCTAACTCCTTATTCACTTACTATCGATACTGGGATACTGTTGCTGCCTCTTTCCCTGTTCACTTTCTTAATCATTTTTAGTTGTGTAATTTTCATACCTTACGGTCTTTGTAGGAGAACACAACTTGAAGTATTGATTTAGTATCTTACTGTCTATCCTTTTTATGACCACAGTTAAACTACAGTGGAATCTTCTACTGTCCTTTTCAAAGTTCTTCACCCAAAGTTGGTTCTTCTGTCTCCAGTGTGGTCCAACTATATGCAATCTTTAGAACAGTTTAAAGAAGTAAAATTTCCTTGCAAAACTCCATTTGTTTCTTGTTTACATATGCCTAATCTTTCCCCACAGCCTGACCCATTTTTCACTTTCTGCACTCAGTTTTGTTCAAAGGTAGCAGTTTTCACAAAAGGAAGGGATGGGGAACAGGCAAAAAAAACACTATAGGTCTACTGCTTTATTTCTAGGCTTCTCAGAGAAATTTGGTCAGACATTTCTAGTCATACATAGCTACCTGGTTTGTATGTGAGGAAAAATGTTGCATTTGTCTTTAAAAATTAAGGGAACATTAATTTTGACAGTAGATATCCTAATCAAAGAGCTTTACACTAAGAACCTTGGAAGAAGATCTTTGTCAGTTTGTCTCTCTTTTTGCTCTAAATAGGGAAGCAACAGAAGGCTGGGTGATTAAAAAAAAAAGGCAAAGTGAAATATACACTTCATGATTAGGAAAAAGTATCACAGAAAAAAAATCACCATTCTAGCCTCTGGAGGATGCAAAAGCTAAAGAGAAACACCTTTGTAATGTAATTAGCCTCCAACTAATAAAAAAAAAAGAAAAAGAAAAACACCTAAAACACCGATATATTAGTGTGGGAAAAATATGGCTGAGTCTAGCAGTTAATTGAAGAACATTTAATGAAGGGACTGTTTAGGAAGGTTTGGGCAGAGGTAAGGAACTCTCCAGAAACTACAGAATCTATTCATCAGATGCATGACAAATTTATGCCATCCAATTTGTTGCTTATAGCACAGTGGTTAAGAATATGCATGAACTTTGGAGTCAGACTGACAGAATCTCATACCAGCTTTATCACTTTCTATGGGTATGACCTTCTGTAATTAAAAAAAGAAACTATCTGCATTTTAGTTTCCTCACCTGTAAAATGAGGATGATAATATTTCTAAGGAATATTATCCTCTGAGAATAGTTAAAGAATACCTGGAGAATCCCCATGGACAGAAGAGTCTGGAGGGCTACAGTCCATGGGGTCGCAAAGAGTCAGACACGACTGAGCAACTAAGCACCTTAAATTGAGAGAGGCAGATGAGAAAATGTAACTCAAAGTACCTGACACATAGTGTGAAAAACACATAAATAATAAATTGGATTCCTTATTTTATTCTTAGTAAGGATACTATAATGTTGACCACAAAAAATATTATTTAGGATCAGGTTTGGTTGAGAATAATTAAAAAAAAATCACAGCTGAAAGAAGCTTAAATAAAACTTTGTTTCACACAAAATCCAGATAAAGAATAGGAAGGTTTGGTATGATAGTTCTGCTCTAAGAAGCCCACTTGCATCTTCCATTTCTATGTTTTGTCATCCTCAGTGAGTGGCCATTGTCTTCATGAATTGAGATAGTGGTCTCTGGGTCCTTGTTTCATGTGGGAGAATGAAATAAGAGGGGAAGACTGTCAAAAAGAGAACACAGCAGTCTCTTAAGGTTCTTGAAAGCTTATGTCCTAGTGGCAAGAACTAGCCTACAAGGGAGACTGAGAGATGTAGACTTTATTCTAAGGAAGGAGGAGACATTGAGGGCTAATTAATAAAGTCAACAACTATTTCAAATTGTCTTTATTATCCTCAAGGCCTCAAAAGCTACCTTTATTTTTCCCTTTTTTTTCCTCCTGCTTTAGCAATCATAGGCATACCTATTTTCTGTTCTATCTTCAACTTTCTTTGTTCTTTTATGTATGTGATGAGCATTCCTATTATTTTCCTGCACTTAAAAAAATTATTTTGCGCTTATTAAAGTTGAACAAACATAAGTTTTAGAATAATCCTTAGGAACTTTGGGCTTCACTGGTGGGTCAGACAGTGAAGAATCCGCCTGCAGTGCAGGAAACCTGGGATGGATCTCTCCACTATCGATCTCTATTCCTGCCTAGAGAATTCCAGGGATAGAGGAGCCTGGTGGGCTATAGTCCATCGCAAAGAGCTGGACATTACTGAGCAACTAAGTCATGTGAGCAACACATACACACATGCTTAGGAACTTCAATTTGGGACTCTTTTCTCTAGACTTCTCTCATAGCCCTGTATCTCAGGCTGCTTTATATTAGACTTCCTTGTGTATGTACAGTTCTATGCTCACCCAGTATGTGAGCTGAAAAAAAAGTGAAAGTTAGTTGCACAGTTGTGTCTGACTCCTTGTGATTCCACGGGCTGCAGCCTGTCCCGCTCCTTTGTCCATGGAATTCTCCAGGCAAGAATACTGGAGTGAGTTACCATTTCCTTCTCCAGGAGATCTTCCTGACTGGGGGATCGAACTGGGTCTGCTGCACTGCAGGCAGATTCTTTACCAGCTGAACCACTAGGGAAGCCCAAGTGAAAGTAAAAGTTACTCAGTCATGTCTGACTCTTTGCGACCCCATGGACTGTAGTCCACGGAACTCTCCAGGCCAGAATACTGGAGTGGGTAGCCATTCCCTTCTCCAGGGACCAAACCGAGGTCTCCCACATTGCAGGCAGATTCTTTACCAGCCGAGCTACCAGTGAAGCCCAGAATGTGAGCTAGGGAGATTAAAATCTACACCTTATACAGCTTCATATCTCCTCTTAGAATAACAGTATTGTGCACATTTTAAGTATTTATTGTACAAACATTTACATTTAAATCCATACAGAATTGTCACTATGAATGATTGAATATTTCACAACACATATATAAACAGTTATATGTCATACCCGTGATTTGTTTCTGAAATTTTATAAGTAGGATTTTATAACTGAATCATTGTAAAATATATTTGTGGGTCACAAAATATAATTCTATTATGAATTCTTCTATAAAGCCAAATTTATTCCTCTTCCAATTTATATATTTTCCAGTTTGGGTTTTCAAATGTTTACTTTCCTTACAGTGGGTACTTTTATACTTCTCTCAACAAAAAATAAGTTTTCAAAACACAGTTCTGTAACTTCTAGTCAGATTTATTGAGATATACTTTACACACAGAAAAATTCACACTTTTTAAGGCCTATTGGTCTATGCTAGCTAAATTTCTATGATTACTGCAAATAAAAAGCTATCATCTACTTTCTAAATCTCTCTGAAGCCTTATGTTCTAGGGACAAACAGCAGAAATCTCTTAACTGAAGTGAAACAATTTGAAGAGCTTACCAAAGGAACTGTGAAGACTATGCTTTATTTGATGAGAGAAATAAAATCTCCAATCAAGCTTTTTAAAACTTACTTAATCTTTTCTAAGTTTCCTAATCATTTTTAAAATTTTTTGCTTTTCCAGAAAACAGTAGGAAGAAGAAATCTACAAGATGGGCAATTCTTATAATAACTTTATAGGCTGATTCACACGGTATGACCTATTTTTCAAAGACTGAAATACTGAAAGGAAATAGAAAAGGACATACACTGATTATACTTGCCATGAAATCATATATGCATAGGAAAATACATGATTATTACCTTAGCACTTACAATAAACTTTATATTATGCGTGACCTCAGTCACTTCTGTGGTGTCTGACTCTTTGCGACCCTATGGACTGTAGCCTGCCAGGCTCCTCTGTCCATGGGTTTCTCCAGGCAAGAATACTGTTGTGGGTTGCGGGGTCCTCCTCCAGGGAGGATATTCCTCACCCAGGCATCAAACCCAAGTTTCTTGCATTGCAGGCGGATTCTTCACTGCTGAGCCACTGGGGAAGCCCACTTCACACTACACAT